GTGTGTGTGTGTGTGTGTGTGTGTGTGTGTGTGTGTGTGTGTGTGTGTGTGCGTGCGCGCGCGCGCGTGTGCGCTTGTTTTACTTCTCCTGATATTTTCATCTTGAGATCCGCTCTGAGGTATATTTTACATCAATTATGCATTCTACTTTTTCTGGGTGAACAATGAAGCCCACTCCATGTTTTGTTCTCTCCATTCCTTTTGTTCCACTCAAAAGTAAGATGTAGTCCTTTTACACCTATTTGCAGTTAGACTTCTGTTTCCTGACATCAGCAATGCCCAGGATCTCAAACTTTGTAGCTTCCAAGAAATAAATTATTTGTGGCTCCTTGTCTCCTAATCCGCATACATTCCATGTTCCAATTTTTGTTGCTCTGTCTCGTGTCCGTTTGACGTTTCTATTCCCTTTTCCGATAGAGTCTGTCCGTTTCTTTTCCTCCTTTCTTTGGTTTTTAGCAGTTTTTAAAAATCAATTACCGGCTTGCTAGGCCCGTCGCAACTTCACCAGAGCCACGTTGGGCAGCGACGTTTCAGTGTGACCCTGTTTGGCCTTCACGGCTTGCGTAGCATCGCAATGGCATAAAGCCACACCATACTTCACCCAAACCCAGCAATGCCCTACTTTGTCTTGTTTTCATCTCCCTCTATGTGGACAAGGGGGGGGGGGGATTGGACTTTGGGTTGGACTGTTCCTCCTGGCTGAAAATACTCTAATAATCAGTATTTCATTTCTAAATATAGAGTACATTCGAAACCGGAATGTCACAGCCTTAAACTTAAAGGCAAGGAGCCTTATAATGTTGGAAAAATGGTCACGTATGAAAATTGTTAGTTGCATTGCAGTTTGAAAAACCAGAAGTCTACAACCCCAGAAGTCCCAAGGACAAGAGTATATATTTAGTAATCTCCCTATGACAGAAACAGTCAGACTCCGGCGGAACTTTTAAAAATACTTTCCGGGCTTAAAACTTTAATAGCTTGCGATGATAGTCAAAACTTTCACTCCAAGTAGTGTACGTTATAGAATATTTAACTTAAGCGAAAACAAACTAAAAACACAGTGTTCTGTCCCACAGGGCGACATTCGGACAGGCTCTCCCAGGATGACTCTTACGTGTATCCCAAGGATATGGCATTGGC